CATGCATACATACATGCATACCTACCTACCCACCTACCTACCTACCTGCCTACCTACCTACCTATCTACGTACGCACGTACCTACATATACACGTACATTCATACATATACATACATTTTTTAGCACTCACGCTCGACAAGTCAGGCGAGGTTATACATACATACATACATACATACATGCATACCTACCTACGCATGCACGCACGCACGTACGCTCGTACGTATGTACGTACACACACACACATACATACCTTTTGTACATATACACACACACATACATGCATGCATGAGCACATACATCCATATACATGTATCATACAGAGCACTAACATTTCTGGCGTGAAAAAAACCATCGTATCATGTAACGGCATAGTGTGTAACAGTCAGGAGATGTACACACGGAAAAACCAACTTGCGCCAAGGCGCCCTTCGGCTCACCCACGCTTGCAACCGATTTCTGCTCGTCGTTCTTGAAGGTGCCCTTCTTGCCATCCGCAGATTTCCAAATGACACCTACCGGGCTCGCAGTCGGAAGACGTAGAAATCTCAAAGACATGCCAGAGCTTGCTGCCGGCTTCTTACCCTAAACTGAAACCCTAAACAAGCACTTTGGAGCCGGGACCCTTGGAGTTCGTGACCAGGATCGAGGACGCTGGCACACCGGCTTCCTTCCTGAGAGAGCGCTTCCTACTGATTATGATTCCAATATTGCCCTGAGAGTCCTCTTGTCACGATGTTTCAGTATTATAACACTGTTAAAAATAATGATAATAATAATAATAGTAATAATAATAATAATAGTAATATTAATAATAGTAATAATAGTAATAATGTCCGATCCCTGGGCTCCCTTGAGTGCTCTGGACAAGCATCAGCATCAAGCTGGCGCTGCCGAGATTGGCTGAACCAGCGCCATGGAATAATAGTCGCAGACCTGTAAGCCGCAGCCGAGACTTGCTTGTAGGCATTCTTCCCCGGCAAGCTCTGCAGCAGACCCCTGCCTTTAAGGTCGGTCAAAAGATCAGTGCAGTGGGGCCGGTTCAGCCTTGGAAGGCGATGCCGTGTGAAAATATCGAGCGCGCGCATGCCGCAAGCTTGGCATGCATCCCAGAAGCTTGATGCCTCCCAAGACAGCAGCGATCGCCACAGAGGCTGTACCCTGAATGTCATCGTTGTATGTCAAGAACTTGGAGCCTCACCGGGGCTCTGCAGTCGCAAAAATATCTGAATCCGCCTCCTGAAGCTTGCAAGATCTTACACTACTGCCAAAACACGGTACTCTTCGAGCAGAGGAAAGGCATCATTCGAATTGAAGTCCTGGCGTCATCAAGTCTGCCGGTGGACCTACACTGCATCGACCAGCGCCAACTCTCAACCCCAGCCTCGAACTGCAAGAGACAGCTTCGCCCGAAGAGCTCGGATGCAGCTGTCATAAACTCCTGAAGCCACGAAGGATCTCGCTGCTCCCCCTCTCCTGGGTGTACACACGCAAGTGTCCCCGATGAAGGAGTCGGGGCCATAGTAGGCAGTGTTCACCTGTCCAAGTGGCCCGAGTGTACAAACGAACACAACTGGGGGGGCAATGCGCCCAACCCGCCTCTGTACCCTGGGCTGAGACATGCTTTACACGGTCTTGCTTCAGCCCGGTGTAGAGGGCGTGGTCTCGGATTGTGAGCCTGTCCGCATCAGTGGTATGCCAAACTCTACTGGGCATCGCAATCCATGCCTGGAAGAAAGCATGCAATGCTGGCAGTGCTCTACTCCGGATGAATCTTGGCCCGGGGCTTTGCAGAGTTTCCGCTTGCATCACTGCAGCCAGCATCGATGATGACGGGGATCACTCTGAATGGATCAAAACCGCCGCCTGCCGATATCCAGGCTGCCCACTTTCGATCACATCGGCAAGTACAGCTGGTAAAGCAGCGTCAAAATCGAAAATCTAAGTCGTCGACACACGGTGTATAGATCCTTATCAGCACCAGGGTTTGCCCTGATTTACTTGGTTGAAATGGGCTTCTTCCAGGTTCGGAGGCTCGTGGGAAAGCAAACAGCTTCAGCTTCTGGGTGCCAGCATCCATTGCCTATCTCAGCCACTAAGAGTTGCGAACGGGAAACAGTATCTGCCGCTCCGCATCATGACTCATGCCTCCCCTGTTTCCTGTCATTCCATGCTGCTGCACGTCCCACGTAGCAAAGGCGGAGCACTATTCTAAGTCCAATGTTGAGATAAACCCCCTCCTTCGACATACCTTTCCTTGTCCCTGCCGATTGCATCCTGGAGTCCAATTTGCCGATTGGGATTCCCATCCCCCAGGCGCCCAAATCACCGAGTCCAAGAATGCGACCGCCGTCCGAGAAGACCTGGGACAAATCCGCAAGACACAGTGGACAGCTCTTTGCAGCCCATGAAGCGAGGCCCTCAGAGCGTGAGACAATGCACTGGCACTGCGGCTTGCCGCTCGAGTCTTTGGGCAAGTGTGCCTCCGCATACCTCCAGTCTCAAGCGTATGGAGGCCCATGCAAACTTCAGCGCCTTAGAACCATAATCAAAATAATCTTTTCAAGAATCCCTCGGAGTTAATGATTCCGAAGTACACTAAAGGCCCGTTGCCCCTTGTCCAAGTTGCTCTCGAAGGACTGCTTTGACATTTCCGCGGTCAGATAGGGACACATAGCCTTGGCACTGCAACGGGTTCGGGTTGGGTTGCTCGTCGAAGGCGAAAGGGGCATCAGGTATGTCAGAGAGAAGTAGCTGACTTCCCAAATCAGTTGCACCACTTCTCTCACTGCGCAAGTCCGAGCCACAGCCACGAGGCAAGAAGGGCAGGGTCCCGAACTTTTGGCAGGCCTGCACGGAAAGCAGGCCGCTAAGGGGGCTTTTCTCAGCACTCAGGGCCCTTTTTCGCCTCGCCCACTGTGGGGGTGTAGACCATGGGCATGAGGAAGGCTGGCTCGGCAAGCAGAGTCTGGTAGAACAAGTTGGGATCCTTGTATCAAGACCCAAGGCACATGACTCGTCTTGAAACTCAGAATCGGGGTCCTTGTGGTGCAGCATGCGAAGGTACGCGTAAGACCAGAGATTGTGCCCGAGGCTTGCAAAACCTCGGACCTCCGTCAGGGCCTGGCACCCAGGCATCGGTTTAGGGGTTTTTCCCTCTCGCATGGCTAAGGAAGGGTTTAGGGTTTAGGGTCTAGGGGTTTACGCTCTCACAACTCGGACATGCCAGGCGAGGTCAATGGTACGTGGTCGGCGTGAGACAGGAGCAAGGACCCCTAGCTGCAAAGACCAACTTCCAAAAACCAGCAATCTAAAACCCTTACCGTAAAAGCTCCAAAACAGGGGTCCCCGGAACTACGGCAGAAAGAACAGCTCGCTAGCAAAGCCAAAGCAACAGCCAACCATTAACAAAGACATGTATGAAACAGTAAGGCAAGCTGACCTTCCAGAAGGTGGGTTCGACGGCTACACTGAGTCAGATTTCTACGACTACTCCAGCAGCAGTTACCGGGGATGTGCATTTCAAGAGAGCGAGCGACCCCCACCTAAAGGCTCCAAACGAAACGAACTCACCTATGCCCATCCCCAGATTGCAAGTAGGCTTGTATCTTTCATACAGGCCTCAGACCTGTTAGAACTACATTGAGTTCCACTATCTTTCTCAACACATGCACTCAGACTACTCACGGGCTGCCAAACCTTTTGGGTTTCTCAACGTAACCCAGCTCGGGTTCGGTCACAGGCTTTCCGCATTGGTCAGGGGCTTTCAAACCGGCTTGAAGCCTCGTGTTCCTTCGGGCACGGGTCTAGGGGTTTAGGGTTTTAGGGTTTAGGGTTTAGGGTTTTTCCCTCTCGCATGGCTGAGGAACTTTAGGGTTTTAGGGTTTAGGCCTACCATTCCCCAACAGCCATTCTGGGAGACGGGAGTGGCCTCCTGCACCGTGCGGGCGTTGCAGCTTCGATCCAAGATTTGTCTCACTTGGGACAAGCTGGCCTGGTCAAGCGCTTTCGTGCAATAAAGCCGGAGTCATAGAGAGGTCCAGCACCTGGTCGTTCCAAGCTGCTGGGCCCAGCTTCGCCACCGATTTCGGAAGTGAAAGCACGCGGCCTGTGGACCCAAGCACTGGGGCAAAGAAACGAGCACTGCATTGCTTGGCCTGATAAATCGACAGGGGTTGTTGGTGCTCCCGCCATCGCTGTCAAAGACCTGGAAATGGGTTTGCCAGCTGCCCGATGCAGTCACAGGACACAAACACAGTGCAATGCACAGACATCCCGCCTCTTGCGCTTCACAGTGATCAGTGATAGATCTAGCAAATTCTCGAGCCAAATGATGCACCGAGAAGGTGGTCATACCGCCTCTCACACCTCTACTTGGCCACAAAGCTGCAAGCAGAGTCAAGTATCACACGAGTAGCTGAGGGTCTCACACGGCGAGGCGCACGGACTCGGCCAGAGAAGGTGTGCAGTTGAACAGAGGCGGCATCCTCAGATCTGAGGGCCTTGCTACTGCCGATCTCAGATCGTCGTTGATCTGCCCCACGCCTCTGTCAGACTGCGACTTTGGCCCTGCAAGTTCGCTGCGTCGCCCGACGGAGCCTTCCAATCTGGCATTCGACCTACGAGCAATATCTTTCTTTTAACAACGCGCGTCCGTGATCGGTCTTCGCGTCGTCAAGAGAAGCGCTCGAAGTCTCGATTGTCGCTTGCTAAGCAAGGCCAGCTCGAGAGCAGACGAGCCGTGAGGCATTTACAGAAAATCCATGATATAGATATAGAAAAACATATATATATATATATATATGTATATATATATATATATTTATTTATTTATTTATTTACGTGTATGTATTATATCTAGCATAATACCAGATAACATTGCTATATGATATACTTAGCATCGCTACATGACATGTACAACATCACAGACTACTGGAATTGATCATCCTCTGCACCAGGCGGAGTGCTTGCTGGTGGGGCAACTCCTGGCAACGTTAAGACCAGGGCTTCTGCGTTTATCATCGCCGGTGCACTGCAAGCACTCACTATGACCATCCTCCAACTCTGGGAAGGACGCTTCCGCCAACCGCTGGAGAAGAGCTGCCGGGGTTGGGCTGCCTTCAATCACAATGAGCATGAAGCGATCGTACAAGAACCTACGAAGCAAGTTAAGTTGCTGCCAAATACTGGACAATCACTCGGTGCCTTCCGTCATCCGGCAGCCCATGACTTCAATTCTTCGTATACCGTAGCCTCGTGGCCAAACCGGACAAGTTTGCTGGGCCCAGCCGCAACACATAGGAGCCGCTCCAGCACCGACTGCTTTCGAGCGGCTTTTCTTCAGCCCAAAGCAGTCAGGGCAAGGGTTGCCAACCTCGAAGCGCAAGATTCCTCAGGCAGGTGCGAAGTGCTGGAAAGCCGTATAGCACTGATCCGAAATAAGGCTGAGATTCTGGTGGGGTCTTCCCAACCAGGCACCTCTGTCCAGCCGTTGAAGTCGGCGTTGTGCTGTCTGCGCCCCCGCTCCACAAAAACACCTGCATCATCCTCGGTGTGTCTGTGTGCGTCTGTCTTTTCTGTTGAACAGGCAGACCAGGATGGTTATACCATACCACAGGTCGTATCAACATCTGAACATCTGCATCCTGCTACTGATGCTGCTGTTGGTAGAGTGACTCGTCGTCTCGAACCACTGCCAGCAAGGTACCGTGCCCTCGAGGCCCGCGTCTTGAAGCAACGATAGAATGCGCAGGGTGTTTCGAGAGCCATAGTCGCCTCCAGTTGAGTACAAACTGTTACAAGCTCCCAAACTGCTAAACCAACAAAGGCTCATGAAGAGGGCACTTTTCACGGCCTGTTTCACATCAAGTGGCCCCACCACTTCACCCGAACCTCGTGCACCACGCTGGCCTCAAGCGCGGAGTCTTCCAAGAGGCCCAAGGTAACGCTTTCCGACTCTCACACTTGGGACAATCCGGGCGAGGCTTCAGTGCTCATTAGTCGGTGCATCAAGGTGCCAAAAACTCGGACACCACCGGGCCTGCTCCAAGTCAATTTCCAACCACTGAGGCTCCGAAGCGTCAGCCGGAAACCTCTCAACGGAAAAGATCAACGCAACAGTTCGCTTGCGCGAAAACACCGAGAACAACACATGCGGACATGCACGTCCGTACCAACATATGTATATGCCACATATTTATACATATGTATGTGTATATATATATATACACACACACAGAGGCAAACCCTCGCGATTGGTGGGAACTTTCCTGGCCAGCTGCCACTCCGAGTCGGTTCCGTCGACCACGAATTGCGCACGGTCTTCGTCCACACTTGCCCGGACAGGTCGGGAACGCGACAGGTTTCGCACGCCACCTGGCTGCACTGAGTCTTGCGTGCTTGGCAAAGGTGCGACTGAGTGCAACGGCTTTCAAAGGGTCGCCTGGCCAAGCTGCAGCTGCTTCGGCAGCCTCGGAAAAAGAGCAAACTGCGAAGCAGAGGTCGTCCATTCTCGTTGCTTTTCGGAGTCACCGTGCCCGGCCTCTGTGCGGCTCTGCAGCGCTGCCACGGGGAACGGCCGCGTCTCAGGGTGCCCAGGAAACATATTTTGAACACCAACAGCAGGATTTGTGCGGTAACACCAATGCTCAGAAAGCCACAGATACTCGCGCTATCACTCCAATGCGAAATATTGGGCCAGTGCCTTGAGCCAGGCTGCCCAAGCCTTGGGCAGCAGGGAGATCCCGTTTTCTGCTGCCCTCGGTTTCGCTCTCTTGTGCAGCTGCGCGGCGCTCAAATCCCAGGGGCATTGCGCTACTGCCTCCCGAACGGCAGCAACATAGAATTATGATGTGTTTGTATGTGTATATACGTACATACATATATATGTGTATATATATATATACGTACATGTATATGTTCATTTGCGAACATGTATTCTGCAATCTGTAGCCCATAGCCATAACCTATCGACTACACTCTAGAACCCACTGAATAAAGAAATCGAAGTGTATCCACAAGTCGAGAAAAAGCAGAGAGAGCTCCGGGCTCTCCTCGGCTCGAAGCTCGAAGGCTTCTCTGCCGAGCTCGGGGGCCAGGAGCCTGGGCTGGGGGGAGGTTCTTAGCCCTGGGAGCTTGGTCGGTTTCGGATTTTCAGGATTTCGACTCTCACACTCGCACCAGGCAGGCAAGGCTCCAAACAATTTTCAGGATTTGGGGTTCCAGGATTTGGGGTTCTATGCCTTTAGTTTAATCTACCTCGGCTCTAAGGGTTTATGTTTATGCTCCCGCAACTCGGACTGGTGAAGCGTGCGGTTTCGCACAGATCCCAGCAGCTTCGGGCAACCAAGGGTTTGTTTTTTGTTCCCACCCGCTTCACTGACTAAGGGCTTGGTTTAGGGTTTAGGGTTCTGGTAGGTTTATGTAGGGTTTAGGGGTGCTTCACCGGTTCGGGTTCGTTGACGTAGGGTTTAGGGGTGCTACCAAAAACGGCGCATGTTGTTGGCTTCACTGCTGCCAGGCAGCTGGGACGCCAGCTGCAGGGCCTCGCCAGTGAGCCAAGCGCTTGAAAAAGATCGCTTGTAGAATACAATACATTACAAAATGATGTGACATACTATAATACAACAAGTGTAACCTATAATCTAGATAGAATGTATATACTGTATACTATGTATATTATTTCCTAAATACTATATTCGTACGTTGCTAGCGCCTGGCTGCGGCGGAAGCCCTCCCAATCATGCAGCGCTCGCTCGAAGACCTCAGAGGGATCACAGGACACAGCCGCCGTGGCCGCCTGCTGTATAGAAAGGTTTAGGGTTTGGGGTTTAGGAAAACATATACAAGAAAGCTATCTAGTTTATGACTCATGAAAAATCTGCAATATTACCTAGATCATTGTAGTGTAGAACGAATATGAGTATAAATATAAATGTAAATAAATAAATAAATATATATATACATGTGTATATGTGTATAACCTGTATTACCTGGAACCTATACTCCAAGCTAAGGTGCTGGAATGACGCCAGCTTCTCGGGCGAGCTCGCCTAGACACTCGCAAGTCTCCGGCCCTGTATGATGTGCCAACGATTGCATCAGTGTGTTTCGGTCCAAACAGGCAACTGAGATGCCAAGCTCTGCTTGCCAGGTGCGCTGTATTCGGTCCTGGGATAGCAAGGACAGGGGCTTTCGTAACCTCCCGGCTTCTCGCCACTGGCCAATCTCGACATGATTGACGATGGGTATTCGTGGTCACCGAGGTTACGGCGGCTTATGACTTTGTGCATTATGCTCTTAGGGAATCGGTTGCCTAACACCGTCAAGCGGCATGCATGAACGATTGGTTCCACCCTCCTCGGCTGCTCGCGATACTGTGCTTCAGCGACCCCCTGCGTGGAGCTCATGTTCACCTGCCATGCTGCCGACCTGAACGCAACTTGCTACCTGTAACCTATGCCGAGCAGCCACAATCGTTTTCCAGCTCCCACCTTCCGTTCGGATGTCTTTGAGCAAACTCGCGGGCTCTCTCTCCGTCTCTGTCAGCACGGTCCGGCCCGCCTTCCGAATGGACCCCGCCAAATCAGGGCGCAGTGGCCCGGTTGGGCCACTGGCATCGCCGGCACCCCGAAAGCCTCACCGCTTGACACGCCTTGCGACCGCACTGGCTAGCACTCTCCAGGATCGGCCTGGCAGCAACTGGCGCCGAATTTGGAGACTGCCCCGCAAACACCTGCCGCCGACTGCCATGAATCACATTTCAGGACAGGTGCAAGAAGCAATTGCCGGAATTTCGCGGCGTTCACAGAATCACGACCCCCCGGCAGAGCAAGCGAGAAGAGCAGCCACTGCACAACCGCTCAGAACCTCCGTACTCCAGGATTACAGGCATTGTGGCAATCTGCCCATCGTAGAATCGTAGGCCGTCTTGAACGCTTACTCCTTTGTCCTGGGGGGGTGGCATGGAAGAAGTTCGAAATGCGGATCCACGGCCATTGAATGCCCAAGCTTCGTTGTAGGGCTTGTACTTGACCATTCGGGCAGATCTCCCAATCGCATCGGGCTGCTGATACTGACGCTCGACATGATCACGCGACCTGCGAAGGCATTGTATAGGCCATTGTATACTATAGCATAATAGTGGTATATTGTACGAAATTGCTACTTGTATTACTATACTGCATTATAGCATCTTACAGTGCATAATAGTCCCTTCAACAGGACTGGAAGTTCTGGGCTCCGTGCCATGCTAAGTCGGCATCAGAGTGCCAGCTGCCAAGGATGTACCGGAAGTGCCAAGCCCGCAGTTTCTGGAACTCCGAGAAGAGCTTCTTGGTCGCCACATCGCGCCGAAAATTCTGGTATCGCTGCTCCATGTCCTCAGTTGGGTCACAGGCATGTCGCACGCGTGAGAACTCACACGAAGCAAGTGACCACAGGACGTCCTGAGGCTTGAACTATTCCTTCTCTGTGGAAGTTCTGGTCGGTCCTTGAAAGTGTGAGTCTTTCGCAGACTTGCTTTCGTGGAATCGTCTGCGCTTTTATGCTTTGCCCTGCAGCCTTTCACCATAGCAACCATGCGGCTCGCCCTCCGCATCACACAGCGCTGCCGCGACAGCAAGTTGCAGCGGCCAGCCACCAGAAAGAAGTGTTGGATCTGAGGCCAACAGCCTCTGGGACAGAGATTTGCGGGAATCACACGAACCTGGCTTGCATGCCCCGGAAAGACGCTTCCGACATCTTCTGGCCAGGAAGGCCTGCACAGCATCCGCACGGCGCGCCGCAAGTCTCGAGTGCCCCCGGAGAGGAGTAGAGCCTCAATAGCCTGAACCGAAGAATCGGTGCGGAGTCGGAATGCTCTGCTTGGCTTCGCGCTGCCGCTAGTGAATTAAAGTATATCAACGCCTATCATGGTATATCAATGTATACTATAGCTTTCATGTGGTAGATTAGTGTTTCTGAGAACTGCTTCTAGTATAGCGCTGATCCCGAAAGATCCTGGCCCCTGGCCTCATCACACTGCAGCAGCGGACCTCGGGACCCGACTGCCAGCTCACAGCGTGGAATTAAGCAACCTATAATATACCATTATATTCCAACATACTATACTCTACTAAGTTACTCTCTATATATATATGTATATTTACACATGTTCTATGTATCTATCTATCTACCTATATATATATATAATTGGTACCCCCCCCCCCAAAGATCTATGCTTTTTATTGTTTTCAACATTCCCAACTCACAATCAATGCTTTTGGACTGTTTTCAACTCTTCACACTCACAAGCATCTCCTGGTGCTATTCTTTCCAGCTACTCCCGCTCACTGGCATCTTCTCATGAACATCTCTGCACTCACGATCCGCAAAAACCAGCCATATTGAAACCCAATGCGACCCAATATTTCAATATGGCTGCGCCCCGCGGAAGGCCACATTGAAAT